TATAAACTAAAAGTGAATAAATACGAATGAAGTTGGGTGGTCCATAGTTAGCAACTAAATGATAAACATTGAAGCGCATATGCATGCATATAGTTCAGAGAACCAAAACAATATCCAAACTGAAAAGGAGAAATTGTTATTAGAAGAGTGTTTTCTTTTGGTAGATTATATTGATAATATGGCATTTGGTTGGTAGGGGGAGCTACAAGAGAGTACTACTGAAAATGGTGGATGAAGAAACAGCTCAATATCTCAACTACTACTTTCAGTTGCTATTGAGTTGATCTTCAATGTAACTCAATCTGTTACGAGTGTCAAGATGACAATATTCTTTTTCTGTTACGAGTGTCAAGTGACAAGATGATATTTCATATATGATCCTCAATATCTAATAAAAAGTATCACGTCATAACATTACCACATTATTGGTTTCTAATTGGGCTATTATATATGTTTATGTAATGGGTTTAAAACAACTGAGCAAGGTTAGACTACCGCTTTTAGGCTTGTAACTTTTTTCTCTTCTTTTGCATTTTAATACTAGGATAAGACCCGCGCCTTGCGCGGGATGAAGCTATTATTTCTATTATGTTTTGAAAAATGAAACAATAGTTCGGTTTCATTCGGATTAGAGGTGTTCAATCCGGATATCGGGTTTCGGTTCGGCTCGATTTTTTGGTATTTCGATCATTAAAATATAACTACTACTCTAAATCTATATATACTTCAGTTTGATTTGGTTTATATACCATCGGTTTTCAGTTTATTCAATTTTATACCTAAAAACATAATTATTTAGTTTGAGATCATATTATATATTATACAAATATATAATATGATCATATTTAGAGTCATATGGTTACAAAGTCATTTATTAAAAAATATTATATATTTAAATAAAAGAATAAAAAACAAAAAAGGCTTCTATCATCTAATAAAATGATCAAATCTAGAATTAATATCAAAACACTAAATTTTGAAAATAAAAATAAAAAATAAAACAGAAGCATGAAAGAAATTTTTTTATATTCTTCCATATTTAGTGTTCATCAAACCAATATGTCTTCGATTGAACACAATTCTGTTTGTTTAAGGATAAAAAAAAGTTGTAAAGAATTTCAACTAATTGTTGTCCATCAAATTTATAATCTTTACTTCAATTTAGTTACTGTTAAAAAAAGCAAAAGATCAAAATAAGATGTCTCAGTTGTAATAAATTGTTAGCTATTTACAAATTATAATTATAGTTCAACTCATGTAACAAATAGATATTCATGCGTCGTTATAAATATATACATATTTACATGTTTCAGTTTAATCGGTTATAAATCAAACCATATTCAAATCCTATGGTTTTTATAAAATCACATCCATTCGGTTTGGATGGTATATACCAAAAATAACCANCTCATTTTTAAAAATTCAAAATATAACCTATACGAAAAAATCTAAAATTTAATTTTATAGCTAATTTGATTGTTTAATTTATTTTAATAATGTAAAATTAAAGAAAAATGATGGAGGATATATAAACTGTTATCAAATATTTATTATTAGAATCATTAAGTGTCATATATATATATTAGTCATTTATGGTAATTCCGTATGTTTTATTTATGGAAAGAAAATAAAATAGTAATTATATCTAGGGGATCAATCATTAAGTGTCATATATATATATATATATATATATATATTAGTCATTTATGGTAATTCCGTAGATTTTATTTATAGAAATAAAATAATGTAAACTCGGTTTGATGCGTGGGATATATATTAATGTAAACCTCGGTTACATTAATGTAAACCTCGGTTACATGCGTCTGTAATAGAATAATGAATAAACAAAAAACAAATGAAGTAAACAAAAAACAAATGAAGTAAACTCTATTATGAAGTGGAAAATTGAGTTAGGTTGGAATGTTTTCTATTTCATACTTCTTTTTACTTCATTTTGGAGTAAAAATTGAAATTGGATTGGAGATGCCCTAAGATACTATTAACTAAGTGTTAAGACTTTTAGTTCCAAATTTTATTAGTTTGATAAGGTGTAAATATATATTGAGTTTGAAAACTCACATCTAAATATGAATGAACTTTTTTAAAAAAACCTAAAAATTTTAACAACCGGAGTACTAATTTTGGTTCGTATATATATTAATTAAGAAAGTGGATTATTATCGCTGTTGTCTGGAAAAAAAACACTGCCAAAGCAGAAATAAAGGAGAAAGCAAATTGGTTAAACCCTCGCCACACCTCTGTCATATAGTCCATCTTTTTTAACAATATAGATACATAACAATATTGTAGAAGATGATCCACACTTATTTCTTTGAGCCGCAATTCTTTTTATTTGACTTCATCGGTGGCCCATATGCAATATATATTTACTTTTCAACCATATGTATTTATGTTGGAATATAAAGATGAATTAATTCACTACACGGTTGCAGTTCAGCCAGGGTACACATAAAGTTATTACAACCTAATTTAGAGTGAGACAAGTTCTCTCGAATTGAGAAGTAAAACAAGAGATTGGCATTTTTCGACCAATATGTGTAGCTGAATACTAGATCTTTACCACTTGAATAGTTAGTTTGTGAAACTAAAATCGAAAATGCATGGGACGTATTTTATATAAGTATTGAGTTTGTTGACAATGAAAGGGGAGAGAGAAGAGAGATATATAGTTGAATTTGAAAGAAGCCTCGAATTTGGACTGTCTGCGTATGCATCCCCACTATTGCATGCATCCACATTTTCACCATACCTCTCCTTCTATCATAGTCTGGTGATGTCATAATCTCAATCTCTAACGTACACCAACTTTGGTGATATACATAATTATTACTACAATTCAAACTCTACATGCAATAATAAAAAGGGAAAAACAATTGGCTGTCTTTATTTTCTACTACCGTCCTCGAGCTACTATAAGCAAATGGACTTATTTGAGCAATGAAAAAGGGTGAATTTGTGAGATAGCCAAATTTAAGAGTATAATTAAATGGATGACTATGATTTCGACGTTATTGGGTGAATAACATTTAGCCTTCTTGTAAGCTGGTTATACTCTCATAAAAAATAAGTTACCGGTCAAAACAAAAAGAAAGATGACATCGATGACTTAACTAATGAATCAAGCAAATACATCCATGTCACATGTTTTAATACCACATATATGTTAACTATCCTATATAAATGTTCTATTCCATTTATAAAAGTACTATGTTTGTAAAAACAAATATAATACCTTTATATAAACCCAAACCTAAATCTTTAATACTAAACCCTAAATCTGAATTTATTAACCCAAACCAAAATATTAAATTTAATTCCAGTTATAATATTTTGAAAGTGCAATACAATAGTAATATATAAATTTTCAACTATTATTCTATACTATTTAAAATGAAATGGAAAATGATCTATTCAATAGTAATATTAAATTTTTAACGTCAAAGCCGGAATCCGCAAACGATCTATTCCACTCGAGTGTAATAGTATAGGAAAACTCCGCAAACGATCTATTCCATCTGCACCAGGTGGAATAGAAATTCATGAAGCTGGTGATGCGATATGGCTTGTCAATCCTCCTCGTCGAGGAATGATAAGGGAATGAAGTTTAGTTTAAAGAGTAGGTAAGTATGTTTGGAAAATATTCGCCGTAACTCTACGATTCACTTTGTTGTGTGTTTCGATGCTGTTTCTAGGGGAATCAGACACGATAAGCCAAAAGAAAACAGAATCTGAGATATCGAATTTGCCGGAAAGCCAAAAAACGCCGGATCTCTGCTGTGATATCACAGTTGCAGAAGCCGCAGCTTAAAATTTTTCACCTTCTCCAAAACTTACACAGAGAAAGAAGTTATTGTGTGAAAGATGTGAATCTCCGATGCTTCCGCGTAACTTTTCCAACCCTACGTAATAATTTTTTTTTCTTTTTATTAGCAGGTTGTACCGATTGCGTTCAAGGACATACATGAAATTATATGTAATATGCAAGATGTATCTATGTATTATAGGATTTTTGGCTATTGAATGAAATATGTTTTTTTTGTAGCCATACAATCCAATTTCCCATGAAAAAAAGTCACCTGATTACTCTCGTCAGTAAATAGAATATATCAACAGAGAGCGGTAGAACATTTGCATCATATGAGAAGATTAAAAAGCAACAGTTTTTAAATAAGCATTTGTTGATCTTCATGTTGATGGGGCCCACTGTACTTCAGACAAAGGCTTTTTAACAGAAGACTAGTGTCATATGGATTCTCTTCCGTTTAGTTCCCAAAACACCCTCGCCCTTTCTCTGTACCTTCTTTTGATACTTTATCAATCAAGTAAAGATTCTCAATCCTCCAAATTGCTGCATAACTCTCATTTCCCTTGGAGACTATTCAGAATCAACCAAAACAAAATCCTTTGTCGGGATAAGGCCCTCTTTGTCTGTTGGAAGTCATTTTTTAAAGATTATTAAAATTATAAAAACACCAACACAAGTTATCCTAAAAATGGTTTTTTAATAAAAAATTAGAATGTTTTGCAGAGGATAAAATTCAGAGGATAGATTTTCAGAATTGCTAAAACATTAAAACATGCACTTGAAACTTAGCTTACACAATAAAAGAAAACCATAATATATTTTTCATTATCGGTTTTGTTGAGTTGGTGGACACTTTGGTCAATTGCTGTCAAGTGCCAACCATCCAAAGAGAACCATTTACGGCAAAGTTTAATGAAATTTTATTTTTGCCAAAATAGGAAAGAAAAACACACACATGCAAAATACTAAAAGAAATGAAAAATAATTTTCATTTCTTTTTTATTTTTTTAACAAGTTTTAAAGAATTTTCATTTCTTACTAACAAAAAAATAAATAAAGACAGAGTTGTCTACAATATTGGGCTAGGCAGAGCAGAGTATTTAATCACCACACACAAGCCTTTGCTTCTCCTTCATCACCTCTCCTCTTATCTGTTTTCTTGCCGAATATTTTTGTCTGATCTCACCATCAACAACTACACCTACCCAAACAAACCATTGAGAAAGAAAGAGAAATGATCCAAGAGAAGAAACATGACCTAATAATATTAGTATCTTCTCAGTGAAAAAATCATAATTATTTTTTCGTGGTCAGATCACACAAGCAAGAACCACGCGTCTCAGCTACTTACGCCCGATCTCTCGTGAAGCCACAATCCACACCACTATGACTACAACCACCAAACCCACTGATGGCAACAACGGCGGCAAGACGCAAACGCAAACGCACAAGAAACAAGTGAGAAGACGACTCCACACAAGCCGTCCTTACCAAGAACGTCTCCTCAATATGGCCGAAGCTCGTCGCGAAATCGTCACCGCCTTAAAACAACATCGCGCTTCCATGAGACAAACCGCCAAGATTCCACCCTCTCCTCCACCGCCGCAGAATCTGTTTTCACCACCGCCTCCTCCTCCACCCCCGGATCCATTTTCTTGGATGAATCCACAACTAAATATTCTCCTCCCTAACCAACCTTTAGGGTTAAACCTAAATTTCCACGACTTTAACGACTTCATCACAACCTCTTCTTCATCATCATCATCATCAAACTCATCATCATCATCCTCATCTATAAAGAATCCACATACCTACTCCTCCCCTTCACCTCCTCCTTCCACCTTTGCTGCCACTTCCAATCCATCTTCTCAACAACCACCAAAGCAGCTGATGGTACCGGAGAACAACGTGGAGACGTCAGCTTGGTGGTCAGAGCTCATGATGAAGTCGGTGGAGACGGAGATGATAAAGTCAGAGGAAAAAGTCTCCGTAGTCGAAGATGACGTCTTCCCTAAGTTTAATGACGTCATGGAGTTTCCTTCTTGGTTGAATCCAACAGATGAAGAATTGTTTCATCCTTACAATCTCACTAATCATTACTCCTCCCCTCAAAATCCTCCATTGTCCTGGTAAATTAATTAATTATATCTTTTTTGCTTAATTATATTTGTTTTTCTTATAAACTAAAAAACATTTTGATCGGTGCTGTTCCTCCGGAATCACCGGTGGATGAATATTGCGGCGGTTCTGTATAAACTTCAGTGGTTTGAGTTGCGGCAGAACACAGAAAGCAGAAAACCTTTTTCTTTTTTATAAATCTTTTTCTGATTGTTAAATGGGACTAATTAATTAAAAAAAATAGAAAGAAGAGAAGTGAAACTTGTGGAATGAGAAGGATCCACATCAGTTTTATTGCATGATCTCAAGCTGTCCCTTTTGTTTCTTTTGGCTCAATGATTATATTATTTGTCCGATTCGTGTGTAATATTATTGCATGTAATTAATATATAGTTTGCTTGTTAGGTAACTTATTTTCTTCAGTGTTCTTCGTGTTTTACAATTTTGTGGTAACCGTATCTGTCTATCTAACCTAACATTTGAGTTTATGATATTTATTTTACAGTATGGAGATTGGAGATATTGAAGGCATGGATGGAGACGACTGGCTTGCCTGGCTCAGCCACAAAGATTGATTACTGTTTTTTTTTCAGACATGTTGAATCAACTCTTTTGGTTCTTTTCTTATTTCTTATTTATTTTCTTTCTATTTTTTTTTTGTTTGGAGAGACGCAAAATTAAGAATAACAACATGCCTGCGGAGAGAAATGTTCGGTTTGGCAAAAGTCACATTAATGAAACTAAACTTTTCTTGCTCAAAATTGTTTTATAGACTTTGCTAATTCTCTGTTACAGAAAAACTTTGCTAATTCTCTTCATATGCATCATTGACTTCACCAATGTCCATCTCATCATCATCGTCATCTTTCTCAAACCCATCTCTCGAATCATCATCTCCTGAACTACTATAGAACAATTCTCTCTCTTCCATTTCCAAAGTATCACTATAAGTTTGAATATTTCTCTTCCTCCCTCTGTAACCTGTAAACCTCAACAACTTCTCTTTCCAAAGTATCAAAGGGCACTTCTCAATCAGCTCCGACCCTTCGTAACCTTCTGTCAAAAACACACTGAACCTCTTCCCTCTCTCAGATACATAGAAGATACCACAATGCTTCAAGAATATCCTCATCAGCTTCTGCGGCATCACAAACTCTCTCCTGAAATGCGTCAGATGATCAGTCACCAGTCTCTTCTCCAGCGTAAAACTAAGCAGCTCGTGCATAACTGCGATTGCCCTCTTGTCAAACTCCTTTGAACCAGCTTCGAGTCCACGTGCATCAGCATAAGGAGACAAGTAAGTTCGTTTCTGAAAATGCTCAATCTTCCCTCTGTACCGGTACATTTTCTTGTATGAAGGAGGAAACTTCATAGGGAAAGCAAGTGAAAGCAAACCTGGCTTGTGATCACTCTCCTCTGTTAAACCTAGAGTCTTCTTCTCCAGCTCTGTGATAGCCCAAGCTGGATTCCATGAAACAAGCTCAAGATACTCCTCCTCATCCTCAACCTTCACAACTTTAAAAAGCTCAGGAAACTTGTGAACCCAATTCACCCTAAAATCAATAGGCAACCCAAAATCTCTCCTGAAATGAGCAATCTTATCCAACCGAAGCTTCTTATCAACAGACATCATCAAACACCTAGTCACATGTTCAGCAGCCTTGTCTCCATTCTCCTCAATCAACCCATCATGCTCCTCCAACAATCCCTCCCCTTCCTTTGTCATTCCACACCACAACACTCCCCTCTCATCCTTATACAGCTCAAACAACTTGGGAGACTTTCTAATAAAATCACTGATCTTATGTGGTTTAGGCAAATTTATCTGACGCCTGTACTGCTCCATCAACCTCACCTTCATGATCATCTCTGGCTCACTCTTCAACAACTCCATCAAGAACATCACTTTGTTAGCTATCTTCCATTTCTCAGTCGCTACTTCGAGCTCGCGGATTCTCTTCTCCCTGCTCCTATCTTGTACACGCTTGCTGCTAGTCATTAACCTCACCAATACACGCCCGAAAGGGCACTCTCTTGTTAAAACGCTTCTCTCAGGCATTATCGCAAACACCTTGTGTGCATTCCCGTAGAGTTGCCTACATCGTAGGCTCCCCATCAAAACCTCAGCTTTGAGCATCTGAACAATCTTTACGAGTAAACGATACTTTAGACTATACGGCGGCGAAATAATTGAGATTGAAGGTGAGGCGGCGAGGAGAAAGCCATGCGACGGAGGTGGGACGGCGACGAGAAGAACAAAAGGTTTTGTCTTATTCTTCTTGTGTTGTATTATGGGCTTAACATTTAATCCAAAATATATATGGGCTTATGAAAGCCCATTTTATCTTCTTGTGGTTTCCTTTCTGCAATGTGTCTATTAAAAAGCGGATTACGAGTCAATATCATATTTTGAACACGTGGCTCTGAACTGTTTGTCTTAAATGATTTTATTCTTGTTTACGTGGCTCTGAATTGTTTGGCTTGAGTGTCTTTAACTTGAGTTGATGTCATGTCCGAGAGATATTTTGTAAGAACCGACAAACCGAACATCATCATAGGTTGGATCGGCCGTTTCCCGTTTGTGTTGCGCGTCTCATTCACCGTTGGTTGACACGAGCATCAGTCAAAACGAATTCTTCGTCGTTTTCTTTTTCCTTCGGTAATTACATTTTATTGGTCTTAGTTTATGATCAAAAACGATTTTTCCTAAAAGACAATCTTAATCTTCCGAGAAGATGTAAATAAAATATTTTTTCTTTTATAACCAGAGTATGATCTCAAACACTTTTTAAGTTTAAAGATTAATCACTATGAATCTCACAAAAATCCGGATTTTCTTACCAGCTAATACATCGTCTATACATGATCGGATCGAACCAAAGCGGTGTTAATCACCGTTATGAGCCTTTTACTGTCAAAACTGGATATCCTGGTTAAAGTACTTAATTTTCATATATCTGTAAATATTACTACAATGTAGAGTATATAGTATATAGTTTTTTTCTTGGTGCAAATGTTAAAAATGTACAGTATTTTTTTTTGGACAAATTAAAATGTAGAGTATATTGTTTCTTTTTAAAGGTAAAGTATATATAGTTTGAAAATGTTGCATTTTAAATAAAATATACAATATGCAAAAAAAAAACACAAGTACCCAAGAAGTTAGACGTAAACATAGAAGGTGTGAGTACTGGAAAATGATTATCAGTGTAAATCTAAAATGTAGATTATATAGTTTAGATATCGTGTGGATATTCTAATTTTAGTCACTGGTGTCGTTTTTAGCTCAATTAGTCTTGTTTTGTGTGTATAATTTAACATCTTCGTTAACACTTTGAAATGAATATGACCCATTTAAGCACACAAAAAGAGAAGAAATGAATAATGGCAGATTTCTGAAAATAGATCTATTAATTTATAGCCTGTATACAAAGCTTCCGAGGAGAATATCTGATTCGAACGATATAATTTTGTGGCAATTTTTCTCAAAAACAAAAAAAAAACATATTATGGCAAGTATATTTAATACCCCTTGAATATAAACCTGCTTATAATTAATTCAAGCAACAGTGATTATTATTTTAAAGAAAGGAAATCAAGAACCTATTTTGGTACGTTCTCTCAAACTAACAAACATAGCCAACTAGCATAAATTAATGATTTTGTATTTTTCATAGACAGCGCAGAAAAGGGGGAAGAACTCAAATTCCTTCACAAGTGTAGCTTTGAGGAAACGTGACAAAACAATATGATAGGATGTTGACCAAACACATGTCTATCTATTAAATCTAGTCAATTAAAGTACTTAATACTCTCCATATGTATTTAAAAGAATGGTGTTTAAGGTTATGCAAACATATTAAGAATAATTAAATACTTACTTTTAACTATTTTCTTAAACAAATTACTTTAATTAGTTTAAACTTTAATATGCAAACATATTAAGAATAATTAAATACTTACTTTTAACTATTTTCTTAAACAAATTACTTTAATTAGTTTAAACTTTAATTTTATATTTGGTTTGACCAATTACATTTTTATATTTTAATTTAAAATAAAATGTATTAATTAAAATCTAAAACATCAAATCTTTAAAATACAACAACAAAATCTAGCAATAATGACTCTAGAGATGTACCTTCTTATCCACTTAACAATTCCATGTTTTTGTGCATTACGTTGGCAGAGTCGGTCTAAACTAATCATAAGGAAACATTTTTTTTAGGTTTCCAAAATTTTTGGAAAAATTTATATAGACAAAAGTCTCCAAATTTTTTTTTTTGACCTCTATATTTATAAAAAAAAGAATTTAGTTCAAACTTTTCATGAATTGCTTAAAATCTCCGAAAACTCAGGACTGACCCTGTGCGTAGGCAAGAGAAATATTTAAAAGAGGGCTACCGATTATATAACAGATCGCAATTAGGATCTCTTTCAGTTTTCATGATATGATTATATATAGGATTATAGCCTAATTTGGTTGATCAGTGAAAAATAATACTGTAATCAAGGAAAAAAAAAAAGTTAGCACATGCTTGTAAAAGAAAAAGTACAGCACGTGTGGCGAATAATAAACATGACCACTTCTTAATCCGTGTTTCAAATAATCATATTCGTCAACGCGCATACAACACGAGAGCTTCTTGTATAATTTCCATACTCTACTTATCGAACACACATATAAATACACTAACAAGCCGCCATTCTCACTATATTGTCAACTCCAAAAAGTACCTGGATTAATATAATATACTCAAAACCCTAGTACACAGTACACTTGTGCATTTGGATTTTAAAATGGATTCATCATTGCCCAAGTACACAGGTGTCAGGTTGAGGAAGTGGGGTAAATGGGTGGCCGAGATTCGCCTCCCTAACAGCCGCGAGAGGATCTGGCTCGGCTCCTTCGACACTGCTGAGAAGGCCGCGCGTGCTTTCGATGCGGCTCTTTACTGCCTCCGTGGCCCTGGTGCACGTTTCAACTTCCCTGATAATCCTCCGAATATTCCCGGGGGACGTTCTCTGACGCCGCAGCAGATTCAGGTGGCAGCTAGCCGTTTCGCCTGCGAGGAACCACCGTTACCACCGCAGCAACAACAACAACAACAACCAACGTCGCCACATGGCGATAAGATGGAGGAAGGAGGAGTTATTTCAGCACGTGGGGAAACTAGTGGTGGTAGTGGCGGGCCTACGTTAGGACCAATTGAGGAAAATAGTAACAACCACGAGGATATTTGCATTAGCAATACTAATAACAATGATACGTCGGCGTATTGGCCTTTTCTGTGGGAAGAGAATCTTGTGGTTCCTACAATGTCGCAAGAGTTTGGTACTTATTTCATGGACGATGATTCGACCAATTTGTATTTCCCGTCGACACAACATGATCTCTCATCTGATTTTTACTACGATGATGGAGCATCTGTTGCTGAAGATGATTTCTCTCATTACAGTATCAACCTTTGGAATTTCTGAGATCCGACTTTTTATCGGTGATCTTGGACCATATATTCCATCGTTATTCAAGGTAAATCATTAAGGTTATCGCCTCTTCTGGTTCATCCTTTTATTTTATTTTTTAAATATCAGTTTGCCTCGCATGTTATTTGGTTTATGTCTATGTGCTCTGTATTACATAGCACATTACTTCCACTTTAGTTTTCTTTCCAGGATTGGTTTGATTTATTTGTACAAGCCAATCTTGACCCCTATTGTTTGGTCATATATGGTTTCCAAAGTTTATACAATAAGGTTCGTTGCATATGTATTTCTATAAGTGCTAATGTTTTGTTGGGAATTATTGTTTTACAATATATTTCGTTGTAAAGTTGTATGTAATATATATAGAAAAAGAATCCTAAGAATATATATTATCTAATGAACTAATATAATAGTAGTTCAACTATTTTCAAAACTAGTCATTTAAGTTCTACAAGAACACATATAATTTACACTTTGTCGAACCTTGACAACTATGATCGATTTTGGATTTAAAGAGATCATAAACCAGATCACTATCCGTGCTAGGAGCCAATGTTCCAATTTGTTGTTATTCATGTTATTGTTATTGAGAACTTGATAGTTTTATGACATTGAAAGGACGAAAATAGCAACTGTAGAGTTGTATAAATTTTAAAGTGTGGTTTCTTAAGTTCGTTCGCCAACTAAAAACCTAAGTGAGGAGACCGTGAGCCTCTAGTGCAAAGTGATTGGCTATACTACGTTGCATTGGGATCAAATCATATTTGAATGACAAATAGCTTACAAATCATATATAGTTTGTTTTTTACATATCTAGTGAAATGTTTTCTAGACAGCATGAAACATGCGAGTTTGAATTCACGTGTTAGACAACATGCACTGACGTTATTATAAATCAGTAGGTCGATCCTCCGACCATGGTCGAGAACCCTAGTTTCTCGTGTCGCCGGTAGCTGCTCCTCCACGCCGTTTCCCGCGGCGGTTCCGTCTGCGAAGCTCGAGTTATGCTCCTTCTTCGGTGGGAAACCTAATCACTTCACTTTCGCCTCTGTTCTCACCTCTTGTGCTTCTGGATTATCCCTGGGGTAAGCAAATCCATGGACTCATTGTTAAGTGGAGTTACGATTTTCATATCTATGTGGGAAGCTCTTTTCTTGATATGCATGCTAAAGCTGGTGGAATTAAAGAAGCTCGCGAGGTCTTTCAGTGTTTACCTGAGAGAGATGTAGTCTCATGTACAGCTATCATTGCTGGGTATGCGCAGTTAGGTCTTGATGAAGAGGCTTTACTAGTGTTCCAGAAGCTGCTAAGTGAAGGAATGAGTCCTAACTATGTGACTTACGCTAGTGTTCTAACAGCTTTATCTGAACTTGCTTTGTTAGACCATGGCAAGCAAGTTGCCTGAGAGGACATCCATTTCGTGGTACGCGATGCTTGTGGGGTATAGTAAACACGGTTTAGATTGATAGGATCGAGGAGGCGTTTGAGTTCATCAAAAGAATGCCATCAGAACCAACTGCTGGTGTCTTGGGATCTCTTTTAGGAGCTTGTATGGTTCATTTATCTGTAGATATTGGAGAATATGTAGGTCGTAGGCTTATTGAGATTGAACCAGAGAATGCTGGTAACTACGTGATTCTCTCTAACTTGTATGTCTCTGCAGGAAGATGGGAAGATGTAAACAGTCTAAGAGAAATGATGTTGCACAACTCTGTTACAAAAGAACCAGGAAAAAGCTGGATTCAACACGAGCAAACTTTGCATTACTTCCACGCGAATGATCGTAATCATCCAAAAAGGGAAGAGGTGTTAGCTATGTTGAAAAAGATACTGATAAAAATTAAGCAAGCTGGTTACGTTTCTGATTGTGTTGTATGACGTGGATGAGGAGCAGAAAGGAGAGGATGTTAGAACATCATTATTGCAAGTTTCTTAATGCAGGTTTCTTCGGGAAATATAAGAAATTGTTTCCTAACTTTTAACGGAAAAGTTAAGAAACTGTTTCTTAAAGTACTACTTATAGAAACAGTTTCTTAGCTTTTCAGTTAAAAGTTAAGAAACAGTTTCTTATATTTTCCGAAGAAACCCGCCTTAAGAAACCTGCAATAATGATGCTCTTATTTGGCTATAGTGAGAAACTAGCTCTGACTTTTGGGAAACCTAATCAAATATGTTGTTTGGGATGATGAATAACGGATTTTGAAGGAAAATGCAAGGCCTTAAGCATATGTTCAGTATACTCCTGGCGAGCCAATTGCTTCAAGCAATTCCAACAAGGGTAGTGACTCAAAAGAAGGAATGCCAAGAAGCGCATAGGACAGCGACGTGCCTTTATAATGGTATGTCCATATGAAATTTTGGATTCTTTTTAAATGTACATTATTTGGGTGTTGTTTATGGTGAGGGTAAAAGCACCTCCAATGGTGTTATCCATTATTGGAATTCTTAGTAATATAATAATTTTTTTTTGAATAGTTAAAAATTTTAATCACAAATGTTCATTCAATGGTGTTATCCATTATGGAGCTTTTAGGAGAAAAAATAATAAATTTTAAAACATGTGAAATTAATTTTTTTATGAAAAAATGACTTAGAAAAACCTAAAAAATGTTTTTGTCACAAATATAGCCTATACAAAAATAATTAAAATAGACTTTATTAAAGGGAGAATTTCACTTATACCACTTTGTAAAAACACATTTATACGGATTAACTAATCTAGACTTAAGGTTTAGAAGTATGGGGTTTAGGGGTTAAGGTTTAGGTCTTACGGTTTAATGTTTTTTTAAAATTAAAAATTTCAACAATCGGACATTACCACGTCATTAAGGATCAAGTCTTTAAAATGCCTTAATTAATGACTGATCCTTAGCTAAAGCAAATTAAACAATGTTATTTAAATCTATTTGCCTAAGAATACATGTTAAGGATTTGGTTAAATCCCCCATTGTAGGTGCTTTAAGAACAAAATTCAGTTGCAATTTCTTGGAAATTTTAAATTCATAGATGTACAAATGAAAAAAGTGTGTCAATGTTGAGGAATTGCACTAACTGATGGGAAGATTGTATCTCTCTTACTTCTCTGTTATGTTTGTTTTCCAATAAAACAATGTTTTTACATTATTAGAGCATGTACATTGAGAGTTCATAGGGGAGTTCACACGTTTCCTAAGATAAAAAAATATTAAAATTATCCCACTCACATGAATCTCCCTCTCATGAGCTCTCTCGGATGAAGCTCTTGCTAGTGAGTTCATCACTGTTTCGTGGGCTCCACGACACGTGGCGACCCACGATTGGTTCGATTTTTTTTTTTAAAAAAAATTCAAACAGAATAAAAAACAAGTTAATAATAAAAAATTAAAAACTTGAACCCCAAAAGAGGATTCACTAATGTACATGCTCTTAGGGTGTTATGAAAACTCTTTTAAATATTGAATCTCTGTTTTCTCCCATTTATTGGCAAGAAACAATCTGCTATGTTTTTTAATATGTTTTGTTACAAATGAGTAATGTTGTTTTTCTTATGAGATAGAGTATTCCTAAACTGTATAATTTTCAGGAATATGTTTTATTTTATGTTTTTATGCTCCTTTTTATGTTTTTTTTTAAATCTATGTTTTAAATGTTATCTTGTAATATATTTTATTTAATAAATAAATTTTATTTAGAAGAAATATTTTATATTTTTTTTAAAAGATTATTAATAAAGAAACTTCCATTGGATCACTCGAAAATGAAAATTTCTTAACAAAAGTTCTTAAGTTACAATTATTACTAAAAAAATTATTGAGAATCCAATTAGGGATTTTAGAGATAATGATGCTTTAAGAACACAATTGATATACTTAACAACAGAAAGCTTCACTTTGGAGTTTACAATAGAACAAGGGAGATTAATTGGTGGGGTCACAAACTTGAAAATCAGATTACAGTGGACCAAGAGGGGGCTAACAAAGTATGAGACACATTATTAGCAACAACACGAACATTAGCGAATTCATTTTATTTTCATTATTATGTACCAAACAGTATAAGTGATCTTCTTCACGAAGACTGTATTTTGGAATAATAAAAAAAAATTGTTATAAAAAATTATATCCAAAATAAATAGAAGTTAATAAAACATAACAATAACCTAACAAGGAAACTATAATTAACAAAAAAGTCAGCCTGCAATTAATATATGCAATTATGTAAACAGTAGTTCCATACTAATATATGTAGATATATATTTTGAATCTTTCAGAAAATCAATTCTAAATCCTTCAGAAAATGTTTCTTTCCCTTTTATAAAATAATTTTTAGTTCGTCAGAAAATGCTTTATCTTTTCACATATATGTCAATCACCTCTTGTTAATGTCATTTGATGTTTATCAGTCGTTGACCCAAAAATTTATATATCAGTTTACTATAGTCCAATGAATTGAAAAGACAAATGTTTTCAGCTTTTGAAATATTAAGGGGATAAACAGTACATCCTCAATTGAGGGTATACTGTTCAACTCCTCAAAATATTACAATCAAACCTTAATAAATTAAAATTCGATAAATTAATAATCTCTATAAATTAATAAATTTCACCGGTCCCAACTTTGGCCGATTCAAAATTTGACACAAATCGATAAAATAATAAGATAATAAATTTTTAGAAAATTCTATGTAAATATATGGTCCCATTAAAATTATAAATTAATAATTTCTATAAATACATATTTTATATAAGTAAGAACCTAGCATTATATTATTTGTTTTAAATTTACAATGGAATTATCTTTACATTTTCTTAACACATAATATATTTTTAATGAGATTTAGTAATATATATCTAAAATCACACTTAAATTTTATGAAATATATATTACATATCAAATAATAATAAAAAATTAATATAAATGTGAAATTTTTAAAAATAATCATTAATGTCTATACATTAAAATCAAATATTTTTCGTATCTTAAAATAAATATATCTTAAAATAAAAAATCTAAATAAGGAAATTTTTGTAAATTAATATCTCTATAAATTAATAAAATTTAAAAGTCCCAACAATATTAATTTCTAGAGGTTTTATTGTATTTACTTTTCACTTTACTTTATCTATTTATATATGTTTAAAAATTGTGTACTTATTATTCTCATGCTGCATTTGTCGTGTTCCTCATCTCTTAGAATTCATTTTTTAAAATCTTTCAGAAAAGTTTTATAAGTCTTTATGAACACATTGATGAGCCATTCAAAACAAAAATGTGAAAAGATAGAAACATTTTCTTTTGGGTTCGAAACTATTTTTTGAAAGGATCAAAAACATTT